GGAGCTGTTCTGGTTCGGGGGCAGCTGTCCCGCTGCGGAGATGCCGATTGAAAGCAGCGGGGTTTGATGGTAAGGAGACCAGCCGAGAGGCAGAAGCTGAGGGTTGGAAGGTTTTCCATTCACGGGGCATCGTGGGTACACGCTTCCCTGGCCGGGATTCCAGGTGGAGATGTCCTTGGACTGACACAAAGGAGCTCCGGGAGCAACTCTGCCGTGAAGAAGTCTCCTGGCAGGATCCTGCTGTCCTTCTGCGCCGACCTGGTTGGCTTTCTTCCCACAGGGTACGCCGGCGCCGCGAGGCTCTCCCTGATCGATGATGGAAATAGGCTCCTGCTTGGGGAGGTGGCGCGGGTCCCTGCTGAAGCTCACGCCGGGGTCCTTGCTGAGCAGCAGCGAGGCGGGCACCGGGTTGGCGACGCCGACGTAGGTGCCCGGGATGGTGCTGATGAGCGTGGTGTTCTTCACCCAGGAGCCCTGCTCGCCGTTGCGCAGGAACTCGGGGAAGATGACCAAGGGAGAGGTGGTGCCGAGACACGAGGTGACGCTGCTGCCCGCGGCCTGGGCCGCGCGCTGGGACTTGGACAGGACCGTGGTGAGAAGGGCTTTGCCGCTGGTGTGCACGGGCGTGAGGATGGGCATCGGAGGGGTTTTGCGTTGGCTGGGCGGAGGCAGTTTCTGACGGTTGGACTTGGAGGAGAGGTCGAGGGGCATCTCGCTGCACTCGGGAGAGGAGACCATCTCACGCTCCAGCTGCGGAGGGGACTTCAGAGGAGAGAGCGAAGTGGCAGCCCCCGGGGCGTGCGGCTCCGGGGCTCTGGCGTGCGCACCGGTGCCAGAAGAGGGAGCAGCGCTCCCGCACGATGCTGCTGCCGCCGGCGGAGCCTGGCTGGAGGAGAGGGAAGGGCCCGAGGTGGACGGGGGAGCGCCCTCGGCAGCAGCCTGGGCACCGCTTCCAGCGGAGGGCGAGGGGCAGCTGAGCTGATTCACCTCCACAGACACCACTTTGGCATCCGAAGCCAAGGGTCTGGTGACGGAGAAGGTGTAGGGGTAGGAGCGCAACTCCGGGGAAGCGATGATGCCCGGCAGGCAGCGCTCGTGCAGGTAGGAAGGCAGGACGGGGAGGGTGAGCGTGGAGGAGACCCCCAAGGTGGCTGGAAGCGTGGCCACGCTGAGCGGCTGCCCGCAGCTCGGTGGGATGTACACCAGCGACTGGCTCGGGCTCAGAACTGCCCCAGCCTGAAAGGACAGGGGCAGTTTTTGCATAGCAGGGGCCTGAGACGTGGTAAAGCACACCCTGTTCAAGGTAAAAGTAGCGGGAGTGGAGGCAGAGGTGTTGCAGCTGGAGACAACCACAGACAACGTCCCTTCCGCCAGCACGCCTGGCCCTGGCGCTCCAGCGCTTGGGCTGGTTTTCTCCTTCCCAGCAGGCTCGCTCTCTGGAGCCACGGAGCAGGCTGGAGGAGCATCAGCCTGCTTGTCGCTGCGAGGGTCTGCGGGTGTCCAGGCAGCATCAGCACCGCTGCTCTCCTGCTCGACACCCCTGGGGGTTGCGGGCTCCTGCCCTCTGCCATCCCCCTGGCTTGCCAGAGGGCCCAGGGCGTCATCTCTCACAGTCTTTCCCGCACACTCCGGGTTTGGGTCGGGATCAGGCGGCTGCTCTTCCAGTTTGGGCCCAAGCTTTTCCTCCACCTTGCCATCAGCATCCAGCCCCTGGGCACTGCTGCCACCACCGCTGACCGCTGTGAGCTCCACCTGCAACAAGAAGGGAGGAGGTGTTCCTCAGAGGACCTTCTCTCTAGCCCCCCCAGCACACAGGGGCAGAAGCTCTTGCCGAACTAGGGCGTCGCTTGGCTTTACTGCACCTAGTGTGCCCCTCCCAAGAAGGAGCCCGCGGGACCCATTCGGGTAGGTGCTCTTGCTTGCCCTGTTCCGTCAGGGAAAAGCCTTCTTGGACCCAGACACGCACGCAAGGAGCTCACCTCGGAAAGGCTGCTGCTGACGCAAAACTCCTGAGACCCCAAGTGCTGGGAGCTGCTCGTTTTAGACTCCTCATCAGAAAGAGGGGCTCTCCTAGCCGAGGAACAAGACACAGCATTACAACACCCCAAGACACCCTCCCAGCATCCTACTCCTCCCCGTCCCTGCGTGGGACAGCGTAGCAGCTGGCAGCCTGAAGAAGCGTGCCTGCTCCGTGCAGCCAGCTCCTCGTCACCATATGTTACACAGCGGGCACCGGCCACCGCAGACCGAGAGGGTGAGGAGCACTGCTGTCCACTGCAGTCCTTCCCCGCTCCCGGCGCTCCGCCCGCTGGAGAGCACCTCCTCACACTGAAATGCCGACCCTACGGCTCCTACGGGCCTGACAAGACTTTCTCCATGGCCCAGCAGCTCCGTGCACCTTCCTCACCCACGGCCATTTTGATCCCGGCCCCATCAGTCTCACCACAGGCCAGCCCAGCCCTCCCAGTCACAGCCTGGCTCCACGCACCCGCTCCCATCCCCTCTGCTTCCCGTCCTGCCCCACTGCACACTCCCAGTCCTGTCCTCCCCTGAGCCCCATCCTGCTCGTCTCTTCTTCCGCAGGCACCTCCTCATTCCCGTCCCTCTGTCTCCCAGCCTTTTTTTTTTTCCCACCCCCCCCCTGCTCCTCCCCCCCAGCCGCTGCCGGAGATCTCCCTCCAGCATCAAAGCTCTTCAGGCTCGGGGGCACTGGGGCTCGGCAGCTGCCCCGGTGCGCAGCGTCCTGCCGGCACGTTTGGGAGGCAGTTCCCGGGCGGAAAGCCTGAATTCAGGACCAGGCCTGTGAACCCCACGGACGCGGGGCGCGCTGAGGAGAGGGCTCTCCTTACGATCTACGAGAAGGCTGGGCAGGACGCAGAGCTCGCCCGTGCGGTGCCCTGTCCCGGGACACTCCTGTCCCGGCAGTAGTTACCCGATGGCGACTCTCTGGTCTTTAAGGGTCATTTAGACAAGCTGCTGGTGCCGCGATAAAAGACCTCAAGTTTAGTTTCCGCTGA